TCTTATATATTGTTGTTTTTCTACATTGTTGTTTTATGTACATAAGTAGTGCACCAATTACACCAAGGCAATTTCCTGTATGTGCAAACATACCTGGCAAATAAAAGAATTCTGATTCTGATTCTGATTCTGATTCTCTATAGCTCATATACTATGAAATAAAAGCTTCATCATCGGAACACCTAACACAGCCTAATATCTATTCTATAGTTATTGCTAGATACAGTTTGGCTGCTGATGTTGATTAATGCTAACTACTTTAATGAACCAACAGAGCAAGTAGCTGTTCAGGCCTGAATGTTCCAGAGTTCATGGACATGTATAAAAGTATGATAGAGAGATTTGAGCAGTAGTTTCCAGCCTGCTAGCATTAGCTGTTGGTTAGTGCTTGATTGGTATGTGGTTTCTTATTACAAATGAACAATATGTGATATCTCTTGTGAAAATGTGAAAACAACACAATGTGCATGTCCTTTAATTACAGTCCATCACTGAGCATATGCCTTCGGTTTCATGGGGACAACTGGGCAAAGGGAGGCTGCAGTGACAGTTGCTCTGGATCTGCTGATTCTTGAGTGATGCTTTTTTCTATTGACTTAATTTGAGCATAATAAACATCTTTTCTGCCTTTTTTCATTCAACAAGCCACAACTCTAAATACATCATTGTTTCACATTGACTTAACAAAAGCAGTGATGCTAGAATTTCTCTAAATAATTATGTCGACTTTAGATACTATGTTTGAGGACAGAGGTCTGACACGAAGCATTTCAATCAAAGGAAATTCATTATGATCCAGCATTTCTCAAAACAACTGCTGACGTCTTTACCTGGCTCCGGTCTTTATCCACTTTCTTGAAGCACTTGTTCAGTGACAGATTGTGGCGCACCGAGTTCTTCCAGCCTGTGGGGGCGTTTGCAAAGTATGGGAAGTGCTCCAGGATCCAGCCGTAGATATCCTTAACGGGCAGCCGTTTGTTTGGCGCATCCTCAATGGCCATGAAGATCAGGCAGCTAAAAGAATACGGTGGTTTTCGGTTTGCCCCCGCTGCCAAATCGTACGCTGAGTGTGCATCGCCGAGCAGGGCGTCGTCTGGGCACGGAGATGAGGAAGGTGAGCGGGGGTGCTGACCGTCTGGGTCCTGTAGAGGGGAGACGCTACGCAGCCCTGAGTGGCTGAAGCTGTTGAGGAGGTCTGTGCTCTCATGGAGCCAGGAAAGGCTAGTGAGTTCCTCGTCCTCAGCCTTGGAGAAAGAGGCGGACAGGGACAGGGAGAGGTCGGCTGCCTCCGCCTCAGATGCTGCTGTGGCAGCGTCCCCCTGCCGGTACGGTGGGCTCATGCCCTGTGAGGCACTGGCTCCACTACTGGGGCTCTGGGCCTTCTTACTGGGGGGCATGGTGGGTCCCATCCAGCCCAGGGCTCACTCCTGGAGAGACAAGAGAAAGGGGATGCCAGAGAGAGGCAGAGGGGAAAAGGGTTGAAGAAGGAGCAGGGAGAGAGAAAAGAAAGAAGGTCAGTGTGTGAAATTCATTTGGCTCTTTACCTTGTTAAAGGCCAAAGGGAGACATGCAACAAGAGTTTGACCACATTCTGGATAATGTTGTATCAAATCAGTGGCGTAAAGTATACATCATCATTTCACTTTGGGGTTTCTTCCCAATTCTGACTGGGACTGCAAATTAACTGCTTCATTGGTTGAGGAAATCTTGCCTTGTACAACAACCCTCTAATTACTAGTGTACCAGCAAAACGTATGAATGCTGTTAAAGGTCTTACAGTTGCAGGGTTACAGAAGGGATTCTGTCACTTCAACATTTCAACAGCAGGAGAAAAAATGAATTGTCAAGGTTAAAGCCTTGACTGAATAAACTTGGCACCACAGCAGGAGAGGTGTGACCAGAGATCATTGTGATCGGGAGCTTTGCCAAGAAAAGAACGAAACAAATTGGGAGTGCAAGTTCAAATCCAGCCCCAGTCTAATCAGACCATTATTTTTTAACATAAGAGCATTGCTGTGCTCGTTAGATACAGGCAGAGTGTGGTAATTGAAGGGGAACGGCCGAGAGTATCACACCACAATCAGAAGCCTCACAACCAGGCCTTTGATTGTCCTCTAGCACAGACAGCTGTGAGAAGGACCGAGGCAGAACCCACAGCAAAATGTAATCTGCTCCACACACCCTGTGAACATTTTTCACAGTTTGAACACACATACACAACCTCAGATGCACAGGTGCTCTCTCTTTTTCTTTTTCTCTCTCTCTCTCTCTCTCTCTCTCACATGCAAATGTAGGTATGGACCTATATCTTTAAACACACCATAAATTCTCACAGAACAGCACAGATGCCCCCCCAAACAAATACGAAAAAAGGTTGCATGACTAAAAGCATGTACACACACATGCAAACATGGATGAATACACACACATATGACACAGCACACGCACACATGCAACATTAGAACATTGAATTAAGTCCAGATATATTCTGTCTGGTCCCTGTGTGGTGCGATTGCTCTCTAATCCAAGGTGATCATCGGCCGATCTGTCCCCTCACTCTGCGCGATTGACTGACAGCTGTCACCCACGGCGACCCGCTGTGCCGTGACAACTGTCAGTTCGCTACAGATCCGGCCGCCATGTCACCATGGAAACAGAGCATAACAACCCAGCTTCTTTCTCGATCTTTTTTCCTCAATCCTCTGTGTCTGTCGCTCTTCCACCTATCTCCCTGTCTCCTCTCTTTTTTTCCTCACTTTTCTACCATCGCAGATAACTATGCTTAACAGTGTTGATAGGCTGTAGTGGAAGGACTGAGCTAAATATAGGATTGTGATGTATAGCTGCTGCACTGTTGCTCCACGTATCGTCGGCCAGCCTATAGTCACCCCGCTGCTCCATCCGACTCTCTCCACAGCGCAGGGAAAAGCTCGATGGAGCTGAATCTCTTTGATCACCCTCTCCACTTCTTCCCTCCTCTCTCATCCCGGGCTTCACACTTCCTGACAGCACACGTGCTCATTCAACAAGCTGTACCTGTCTGGAGAAACAGCATTGTTGCACCAGTATTGACATTGAGCGTAATGAATTCAAATTGTCCCAGTGACGATAGAGCTGCAGCTGAAAATAGTGAACGCACAATCAAAGGGATGGGCGAGGTGGAAAGGGGGATTTGACAGGCTTTTCAAGGTGTGTGTGTGTGAGTGTATTTATGCAAGCATTTGACAAGCTTGTCACGATGCGTGTGTTTGTCTTGGGAAGAAAGTGAGGCCATCGTAGTGACATTGTTCCTGGTAGGAGTCTACTGGAATGCAGCGATGGCTCTGATGCTCTCTTTCTCTCAATCTCCCTCTTCCTCCTCCTTGTTATGTTGCCATAGCGGCAAGGGGGCCATGAAACATTACGGCTGACAGTAAAGTCATCTCATTTTACTGTTGCTATGACAACAAACTCCTCACTGTTGGTTGGGGCCAGCACGAGCTGCCGCCCAAGCCTCGTGCCTGGGTGTGTGTATGAGAGGATGAATTTGAGTTTGTGTCTATGTGTGATTTTGTGTGTGCCACCATGTCTCCCATGGGCTCTCATAAAGCTTAACACACTTGCTCAGCTCTAAACAAACTTTCATGCAACTACTACAGCGGCCCCTCAGGACCAACTGCTAAAGGACAAAGGCAGATATCGCTCAAGTTCAGACTAAATGACGGCTGCTGTGTGTAAATGTGTGTGGGGAATGTGTTTTCAGCGTGTGTGTGTGTGAGAAGCATCCTCACATTTGTTTGACAGATGGGACTGTGCTATTCTCTCTGTCTTCTTCATTCCCTGGATCTCTTTGTGTTTGCATGCTTTGTTTTCATTTGTGTTCGTCTCTGTTTGGCATGTCCACAGTTGGCTTAGCGTGTGCATGTTTCTTTTTTCCTTGCATTTGGGTGTGTGTGTGCATCGGAGTACAAGTAAAGTCGGACAATCTGTCTTTTAAGTACACTCTTCATCCAAATGTCTCTGCATACCATGAGGTGTGTCTCTGTGTCTCTGTCCTCACTGTAACCCTTGAACCACACTGGTTCCATTAACACTCTGCAGCTCGATAACGGGGATTTTGAATAATGCTGTTCAATTGGAGTAAATGTCTTTTTCCATTCAAAACGCCAGTCTCGAGCAGTGGGTGATTGGTGGTACACTTAAGTCAGATGATTCCTATGATTACGCTCCCATGAATGTAGCTGTCACAAGTCTCTGACAGCATACAAAAGCAGAAAATGACTGTGGCAACTGTGTTAGACATTCAAACTCCTACAAACTCCACAAGTGACACGGACGTCAATTCAGGGATGTTATTGTAACTAACAGTTGATCTTTAGATTTATTGAAAACAGAAATTTATCAAGAAAAAATTATTGAAACAAATTGTTAAAATAGGTAAATCCTATTTTTCAATTATGGTGAAATTGTATTTTGGTCATTTTATTTTTTTGTAGAACTAAGTTTGGTCCATGGGAATCCAAGGTCCACTTATTAAATCTTTCAACCGTATCACATGGTTTTTATGAGCAAATTGAGTTTGCTGAGTTGCCACGGAGACAAATCTGCTGACATGTGAGCTCTTATGATTTCATTCATTGCACATAGTGATGGCTTAGGGGTGGTTCAACATTTTTGGAAATGCTCATTCTCGTGTCTGTGTATGGCACATACTGCATCAGGTTACCGTCAGCAGCCAGTTAGCCTAGTGGAGTCTCCGCTGGTTGCCTGGCAACCTCACAATCCATCCGGGGAGAGACTGGTACATAACAGTCTGGGACATCACCCTATATAAAACTGCAGCGGATTAAAGAAGCAAAATACAACACGTCCACTGGTGTGAGCTTGAGTGCCGATTGTACTGTAATACCTCTGGACAAAGCCAGGCTCTATACTAAGCTAAGCTAACTGGCTGTTGGGGGTCGCCTCATATTTAGCACACAGACATGAGCGTGGTAGTGATCTTCTCATATCCCTCTTAACATGAACGCAAAACAGCATATTCAACTTTTAGTTACAAGCACCAAGCTTAAAATTTGGCCAATATGAAACCAGATTTTCACCACCAGCCCTCTGAAGAAACTGCCATTCAGATAATTTATGCTTTTCCCAGGACAAAGTTGTCACAGATGTCTAATGGATTATTGACAAACTCAAAGGTCCACGTCATAAATCTTCTGCTCCACTCCAGCCGCATCAAAACCTCAGCTAACAATGTCGTGCAAAAAACATTTTTTAGAGTCAATACGCTGTTGTTGTCATGTCTGCAAATACAAAGGGACAGGGCTCAGAGGTATTTTGGATTTTAAGAGCTAATTGTCCCAAAAATGATTCAATCACAGATAAGAAGTTCTCACAGATATTTATT